ACGAAAGCATTCCCTGTCACTGTCATGGGAGCGAGAAGAAACGCAAAAACACTGTTCGCCAGAGTTGCCCAATAGTTAAATGAGATGCTCACATTTCTATAAGTATAAACATAACACAACCTATCTAATACGTCAGATGAATTGGACAGCATTTCTGTTTGCAAACTCGGATTTGGAGCTCCCAGAGTGAAGGATGATTGGTAATACAAGTGTTTGGTTTTCCGAGTAAACTTTTTCATTAGAGAAACATTACCCTTTTGGAGTTTAATGAGTGTCCCAGCTCACGCGTCGTCTCTCGCAGTTTGATGAATCTTGTTACGATTGCATCTATTGAAAAATAACCACTGAAATTATTCAGTTTTTAATCTACGTATCATGATGTCCTCTTTGTTCAATTAAAACCAGGAACAGTTACATGCAATGTAAAAAAAAAAAAATCCCCAATTTAACAATCTTTCAAGATTTTAGCGATGCCCGACCGATGCCTTTTACTCCTTACCTCCAAAGTCGCTTTGTCTCGATCAAAATCAATGAATTTCGTATATCAAAAACATTTAACAGCTGTTTAGCTTGTTTACCTGTTCGAAGCTGGATACAATTACTCTACCCACCGTCCTGGAATCTCCAGTTTATGGCTTTGCAGGGTCATCTTAAAGAGGCGAAATGTTTTCTTTGATGTTCTATTCTTTATAATATTTATTTTTTAACAAATTATCGGTAAAAAGATATTTTGAAATTGTTTCAGTCAAAAAAGTAACACAAGTTCGTTTGTATCGATTTAGTCGCTTGTTAGTGTACCCGAAAGAAACATTAATATAATCCCATGTGAAATAATTGGACGGGGTAAAAACAACACATGTAATTGGTTGAGAAGATAACTGAAAAAAAAGGTTTTCCATGCCAGTCATCAGCTTGGAAACAACATGAAAAATAAACACGAAAAAACTTCACAAAGTTTGATGACTTGATGCGTAACTACCATTTAAACAAATTTTCATCCGAAAATCTGATAAATCCAAATAGACATTACCTTTTTTAATTTATTGGGATTTGGTTTCTTTACAGGAACAAAGTACTAAGCAAAGTAGGCTGCTTTATTGCTCAGTTGGTAGTGGCACCCATCAACTATCTGGGAGGCGTGGGATTAAATCCCATCAAAGCCTCAACTGTTTCAAGAGTCTTTTCTGAAATTTCTTAAATTGCAGCTCACCTGCAAGGAATTTTTCTTTGTTTGTATTTCATCTTCAGGTCAAAATATGATTACTTATTTTCACTTAATTTTTCATGTCCTTTTCCATATTTTTCAAGGGCTTGGTGTCATTTGAAATCATGTCCCTCAAATTGATTTTCTTTTGTCCTCTCATGAGGCTACAATTTCAGCTGAGGGGTGGGGGGAAGGGGGCACTTAAGAGTGGCCAATAAGGTGTTTAAACCTGAACCTGGAAAGAGAAAATCTTTTTATTTTGCGATCCAATTTAAGAGCATCTTTCTTAGACTTCAAATCAGAGTTAAAAAGAAAAAAATGCCAGAACCTCAAAACATAGACCATGCACTGCAAACTTCATTACATTTCCAAGGCTTTTGGCCCAAAAATATGACCTGATCTTGAGACCAAATGGCAAAACGTTATCTCTCGTTGGAGACTTGTAAGACCCCTAAAACCCATACCTCGGACTTGAAAGAGGTCTATCGTTGTTTGATTTGCTTATTGAGCGCTTTCTTGTCGCTTTATCATCTGTTTTGCTCAAATAATTAAGACACGCTGATAAAAAATTTTTTATCAAACCAGAGCTCAATCATTGAAATATAAACAATCATCGTAAGACTTACCCGTGGAGGTCAAACTTTTCCGAATCTGGTTGGCAATATCATCGTTGATTTTACTGCTGCGTGCGAATTACTCTACATTTTTCCTCGGATTATCAAGCATCGCATTGAGATTTCTGTTTCCGATCAAGTCCAAAATCGCAATGGCATGTTGATTACTGATTCAGCATGCCTGTGTCAGAAACAACGAGGTCAAATCAATATAAGTTGCGTCAATAAAGAAAAAATAACATACAGCCGTCCCTTTGCAGATAATAATCATCAAGATCATTCAGGGTCGTTCTAAAGATACCACGCACAGAGTCAGTTGCAGTGTTGACCTGTCTGCACCTTTTACTGTCAGTACAAGGGTGTGGCAGGGTTGTTTCTTTTCCATAGTTACTCACCTTCTTACCGGTAATTGATTAGGTGATGCTGAAGATGAAGACAACAATAACAATTTTTTGAATCCTGCGAGGCTTAATCAAGCTGCGCGAAAGAGACATTCCTATCAAATTCATAGGAATGCTTTGGGGAACGAAAAGCATTTCAACTGGCAATAATCGCAATACACTTACTGATTTAACACTATTCAGTTTGAAAACATCAATTTATATCCTTTTATCATTCATCACATGTCTAACTCACTGGCAATTTTAAGGCAATATGATGGTGAAGTAAAAGTAACGTACGATAAACGGTTCGAAATATCTCAGTGTAGCTCGATAATTACCAAACGATTATTAAACATACCAATGTTATGCAAATATTTGTGCCTTGAAATAATTTTTTCCATGCTTTAGCAATCACACTTTTAAGTCGTTTTTTGCAATATTGCAACTTTTGCCAACATGCAAGCGCCGAGTTGCCACGGAGAAAGTGTTAGGTATACAGATTGACAAAGAAAATTAACAACAAAACTTGTTAAAGTAAACTTCCGTGTTACGCTTGCGGCGACTGAAACAAAATTCAAGCGAGGCGTCGCTCTGGGCACATGGCTGCCAAGGTGTTTGGGACTACTGTACGGGTCGCAATCACTAGCACCAAAGTGAAGGTTAAAAAAGATTTATTGTCGATAAAAACAAGAATACTAAAACTACTAAGATATTAAGACGAACAAGTAGCTAAAAAAAGCAAGTGGCTAAAAACGACCGTAAACTGAAGTAATAATGCAACGAATTCCTATTAATGGAGGCGGAAACTTC